GTCAATAATGTGATGCATATTAAAAATTGGTATTAAATTGATTAAAAGGTATGACGAAAGTTTCCCATAATTTCAATCATGACTAAAATATTCAATCTAATTTGCACGCAATTTTAGATTTTCTGTTGATAAAATAGTTCATATTTAAGACCAATTTTCTAAACTTATTAATTTCCCTTTTTATGCGCGTTGCTACATAAATATTTCGACGTCTAAAATATGTGTGCATGTAAAACGGAAAAGTTGGTATAAGATGTCGAAGTCGTCAATCGGAATCGGATCTAGAAATTCTATGCATTTTTTGCGCAATTTCGAAAAATTCATCCGAAGTCCGATCATGATTTAGAAATTCAACGCAGTTTTTTATGCGATTTAGATTTTCTGCTGGATAACGTAAAATGCGATTTTGTTCCTGGGATGACACCACGTCCGAATCTGGACCACTTTTATGGTCAAGTTTGGCACGCGACTAAATATTTGTCGATTTGGAAATGTATCCGTTCGACGTCAAAACTGCATATGTATGCTAAAACCGCTATAAAATTAATTAAAAGATTCATTAGTTCACCATGCAGGAAGCAGATGTCAAGAAGTTCAATCATAGTTCAGAAATTCAATGTAAGTTTTATGAAAGTTTAATTTTCTGTTGATAAAACAGAGTATAATTTTGTTTTTGGAAGGACACCCAATTCGCATTCAAATCTGGTCCAGTTTTACACTACATTTTTGCATAAATGAATGCACTCTGGTAAAATTTTCTAAATTTGTAAATGTATCAGTTCCACGTCGAAAATGTGTATCCGTGCAAAAACAAGGTCCCAAAGTTGGACATTAGATGACAAGCTCTGTGTAATTCATGATTAATTTAAATGTTCAATGAAATTTTGATTTTCTGATGGATAAAATAATATGCTGTTTTGTCTTTGAGAGGACACCGTATCCGATTCTGGCTCAATTTTGCGGTCCATTTTCTAATAGTAAGCTTTTTTAATGTTCAATTTAATTCGCGTTTCTAAATATCTCTCGATTTGGAAATGTATCAGTTCGGCACCAAAAATTTGTGTGTATTTTAAAAGTTAATAAAATTGCTTTAAAGATAAGATAACTCTTTGTCTTCATTATTTATATTCGAAATTTCCTATTCGACTTATTTATATTCGAAATTTCAGAAGTTGAATGCAATTTTATTTGCAATTTTAATTATTATTGCAATTTTTGGACAAAATATAATTCAATTTTACTTCCGGGAGGACACAGCGTCCGCGTCTGGTATACTTTTGTGACAAATATGCAATTCTGATTTACTAAACTTTAAAGTGCAATTCATTAAATCCACACTAAATATTTCTTGACTTTTGAGTGCACCAGTTACATTCGTTTGGAGGGTTTATTAGATTTACGGTCTATTTTCTAAACTTTTCAATGCGCAGTTAATTAAGTGTGCAAATGCTGTTAAATGCTTTGCGATTTGTAAATGTAGCACCTCAACGTCAAAACGAATGTGTACGCAAAAAAGGTTATTAACCTGAGTAAAAGATTAGTTCCAAGTATTATCTTAAGTTAAATCATGATTTAGAAGGCAATGCATTTTTTATGCAATTTCGATTTCCTGCTAGGCAAATAGAGAGTTAATTGTGGATTTTGCGAGGGCGGCCGTAGGCCGCGTGAAGCAAAATCAAGATTATATGATTCTTCCGGAAACGGAATATATCACTGTAATAACTGTTGTAGTGATTGATATCACGTAGTGTGTGCAGTCCCATATTTTCAAAGTGCATGCGCACAATGAAAAAGTAAGAAGAAGGAGCCCTACTTGCCACGTCGCTGGTCCGGTAATCTTCACTATTTCAAAGTCACCGAATTTCATATTTTAATTAGTGGGGGAGGGATGGAGGGCAGTGATATATTCCGTTTCCGGAAGAATCATATAATCTTGATTTTGTTTCACGCGGCCTACGGCCGCCCTCGCAAAATCCACAATTATATTTCTTCTTCCTCCAACTACATATATCACTGTAATAACTGTTGTAGTTGTTTAAAGTAAATATGAAATTCGAAAAAATAAAAAACCGAACAAATATGTAACTTGTTTAAACAGTTTTTACTACCAAATAATTTGCTGTGCATCCTTGACCTGTTACATATGTAAATACAAACTTAAATATTATATCATTATTTTAATTTAATTACTTAGCAAAGAATTTGCAAAAGTGGTTCTGTCATCTATTTTCTTATTGTAATGTTTAGCAAATGCATTTGAACGATTGCTCCAGCCAACTCTTTGAAAAATGGCATCAACATTTACCCCACGACTTGATGCCTTTGAGGTCGCAGCGTGCCTAAAACTGTGACCTGTATAAATACTTGAATCAACTCCAGCCATATCTAAAGTTTTACATAACCATTTGCTAATGGTCTGAGATGTGACCGGTTTGTATGGAGAAACAAAAGATATGAATAAATTAGCACTTTCTCCTCTCAATATTTTAGTTTTTTCTACATACATTTTCAAATTGAAAATCGGACACAAACTTTTGTTCTCGAAAGAAGGGATGATTAAAATTGGATTCGGATTTTTTATCGTAGTTGTTTTTAGAATTGAAGGAATCTTGATTTGAATTGGATCTCCCCATAAAATGTCGTGTATCTGTATTTGTGAAAACACTTGTGCTCTTTGAGCCGTAACTAACGCTAATAATGCTAATACCTTAAGAGTCAACTCTCGTAATGGAATTGTTTCACTATCTAATGATTTCAACACATCGAGCATTTTACTGGAATCCCATGTTAATGAATATTTAGGTGTGGGCGGTCTTAACTTACTAATACCCTTCATAAACTGAGTAATTAACCTATGTTCGCCTATTTTACAATTATCAATATCGGGAAAAACTGCTGACAAAGCTGATCTAGCAGTGTTTATAGAAGCATAACTTAAACCTGACTCGTACATGTTAGCTAAGAACGACAAATATTTTGACAATTCATTATCATATACATTCCATTTCATAACATTACAAAACGATATCCACTTTTTAAGAGAAGATTCATACTGTTTCCAAGTACTGGCACTACATGATGACTTTAGAATTGAAATGACGTTATCTGGCAGATTCAATATTTTAAATGATTGGCTGACAATAGTGCTGCCATTAATGTTGTCTTGAAACTCAGTGGATGACTCCTATTAGAATATGGACAAAAAAGAAGATCGTTAGCAGGTTTCATAATAATTATTTTTGAAATCTTTAAGTTATGAAATAATGGAAACCACGGTTGGTTTGGCCAATTTGGGGCAACTACAATACCCTGGCAATGCTCTTCCCTGATTTTCTTTAAAACTCGAGTGAGTAATTTAAAGGGAGGAAATGCAAAAAAGAATTCTCCCCATGGTTTAGTAAATGCGTCCACCCATTCAGCGTCCGGACAAGGGAACCAAGAAACGAAGCGAGCACATTGATTTGTTTTATTGGAGGCAAACAGATCAATTACGGGGCTACCTAATTTGTTACAAATATTATAAAAATATTTGTCCCCTAATTTAAAATCATAACTATCGATATCCAAACGTGAAAGTGAATCAGCAACAATATTATCCTTTGTGCTAATGTAAGAAGCAAATATTATAATTCTTCTCTTTTCACACCACTGCCATATAATTTTTGCAAGCTCCTGACATTGATAGGATCTGCAGCCCCCATATTTATTTATGTACGATATTGCAGTGGTGCTGTCTGACCTAATAAGAACTGATTTATCTGTAAAATCTACCAACGCCAGCAATGCATTATAAATTGCAAGTAACTCTAGTTCGTTAATATGCCTTTTAGCCTCATTGAAATTCCAATGACCCCTAGTTGATCTTCTTGCTGTCGTTGCACCCCAGCCAGTTAGAGATGCATCTGTTGTTAAGGTTAAAAAATATGCTTCCTGCCTGATTTTCTTTCTAGAATGAGAAATATTCTTTATCCACCAATTTAAATCTGCGACTCCTTCATCAGAAATGGTGACCTTGTGATTATAATTCTGATTTGAGATAAAAAGGCCATCAATTTTCTCCATTTCTAACTTTCTAGTGTATACTTGGCCGTATTCTACTCCCGGACACGATGATATTAATGTACCAATCAACTCAGCTAAATTTTGAAGAGGAACAGAACTCATATTTATGACACCCTGACATTTTTCTAATACTCGTGTTTTCTTTTTGTCCGGTAAAGATATTTCCATTGATTCTGAATCTATTAAGAAACCTAAGAATTTTACTCTCTGGCAAGGAATCAATCTTGATTTTTCATCATTAATTGACAAACCCAAGAATTTAAGTAATGAAATTGTTATCTGAGTAGCCCTTTGACATTCTGCATATGTTTCTCCTACTGTTAGCAAATCATCGAGATATGATACGTTAACTATAAGTCTGGATCGCAAATAAGCCAGAACAGGTTTTAAAACCTTTGTGTATAGCCATGGTGCTAATGACAATCCAAATGGAAGACATAAGTATTCATATAGAATACTTTTCCACCGAAATTTCAAAAATTTCCTAGAACTCTTATGCATTGGAATCATGTAATAAGCATCTTTCTGGTCAACAACGGTAAAATAACAGTTTGGTGTCACTAATGCGAGTGCAGTTCTTATATCTTCCATTTTGAAATGATCAACCAGAATAAAATTATTTAAAAGTTTTAAATTAAGAACAAACCTACGAGAACCGTCTGGTTTAGGAACTGTGAAAATGCTAGATAAAAATTGACCTTCTTTAGAGATTTGAATAACTCCACTGCTAACCATCTCATTAATACATGAATCAATATAACCTGATTCAACTTCATTCATTTTAGGGATATTAGGTTCTTTGGCCTGACTAGGTGTGTGATTAAATATTAATTTATAGCCCGAAATAGCCTTAAGTACAAAATCATCAGAAGTTATAGTTTTCCAATTTTCTACATAAAATCTTAATCTACCTGCCTTCTCATTTGTAATATTTTGATTTATGGTTGTCGAAATTGTCGTTGTGGATAATTTCCTCGGTTGAATCCTCGCTGGTTGAATCGTCCCCGAGTTTGACCTCGAAACTGCCCTTGCGTCCCTCGATGGGTCTGGAATCGTGGGAACGGGCGTTGGAAGTTTAAATTTCCGGTATTTCTTGAGAAATTGTATGGACGGAACCGAGTAGTCCTTGTCATTGACGATCGAATAACAGTTGAAGCTGCTTTTGACGTCTTTAAAGTTTCGCTCAAATTGTCACCAAAAAGATATTCCGATACTGGCAACTGTTTATCAATTATTTCTCATTGCAGAATATTATTACGATGTAACATATTGAGTAAATAAATAATAATAATCACCTGTTTGTTGCAAATTGCACTGTACTCTGGATTAATTAATTTTTTCACTTCCTGACGGCGTTTCATATTGCTCGCCTGCAGCTGATCGCCCAAAATATTTCCTCCATCAATAGCTAATTTCAAAATCCTTTTCTTCACCTCTTGAGGGATCTCATTTGAGTGAGTGGCAACCTCATTTGCAATTTCGGCCATTGTAATTAGACCAAAGCTAATTGATTGTTGAACTTGTTGAGTTTGGATATCTGCCAGCCTTGCCCCCGTAGGTAAATGGGCCCAGATTTCAGAATTCATTTTCGGAACAGCAAAACCCTTGCAGTTGGACGGGAGTTTTATCTGATCTTTGAGTTTTGAGGCAGTTTCCTTTGTCAAAGGACGACTAACTGTTTTTGAAAACCCCTCAGAGATTTGTGGAAGCAGATCGGGACCATATTCAATGCTGCCCTCAATATCTTTCATAATCTCTACCAGCTCGTTATCGTCCTGACCATCTAATTAATGAATTCATTCTTAGATTTTAAACTTAGAGATAAAATTATATTTTATTTTTCGTGCAATATTATTACCATGTGGTTTATCTTGAAACATATTTGCAAAATTCTCAGATTCCTTCTCCTGAGAATTGTCCTCCTCGTCTGAGAGACCAAGTGACCAACCCTTATCCTTTGGAGTCTGTCCTTGAGGAATATCATTCTTCCCTACTGCTTCTTTCAAAGAATCCAGCTCTTTTTGCTGAGTCGCAATAAATATGGACATTGATTCTACTTGACCTTTTAACTCGTTATAATCCGACATGGCTGTTAAAACCAAAAAACATCGGAAATTAAAATTAATGTGGGCCAGCGCGGGACACCACGTCTCCGTCACCTTTTCAAGGTGGCTCGGAGTTATTTTGTTTAATTCTTCACAATTAATTATATTTTCTAAATAAAAATACCCTCAATTCATGGGAATTACTCTAGACTTACCTGGTGACCGAATGGGACCTCTTATGTTGAAAAAGAAACTGGAAATCTTCTTTAAAAAATTACAATTTTTCACGGGCTAAGATGGCGACAGCACAACACTACCATGAAATCAACAGTGAAGATTACCGGACCCGCGACGTGGCAAGTAGGGCTCCTTCTTCTTACTTTTTCATTGTGCGCATGCACTTTAAAAATATGGGACTGCACACACTACGTGATATCAATCACTACAACAGTTATTACAGTGATATATGTAGTTGGAAGAAGAAGAAATATAATTTTTGTGGAATTTGATGTGCGATGTTAAATATTTCTCGATTCGTAAATAGAAGCGGCTTGACGTCAAAAATGTACGTGTGCGTAAAAATGGGTTTGGAGGAGTCGATTAAAAGATAATAATCTTCACGCTCTAAAAAGGATCAATTATTCCATCAGGATTTAGAAATTTAGGGCAATTTTCATTTTCTGCTGATAAAATGGAGTGCAATTTTGTCTCTCTGGGAAGACACCGTATCTGGCCGAAGCTGGTCCAATTTTGTATAAGTTTAACGTCGAAAATGTATAAAAGGATATCAATTTGGATAACAAATTCCATCCTTTCTCGGGTTTAATCATGCTCCATACAGTTTTTGTGAAAAACATATATATAATCCGCATACGGTCCAGTTTTTTAAAATTGAAATGTCCAATTTTATTCACGCTGCTAAATATTTGTCGATTTGGAAATGTGCTAGTTCGACGTCAAAAATGTTAGTGCATAAAAAAATGGTTCAAAAATGGCTAAAAGGTGTGTCCGCAAAAAGAAAGAATTTAGAAATTCAACGTAATTTGAATGAAATTTTGATTTTCTGCTGGATATGAATGCAATTGTATTGTTTCTGGGAGGACGGAACATCAAAACCTGGTCCAGGGTTAAGATTCATTTTCTAAAGTTGAATGTTTAACATGCAATTAGTTGTATGTCGGCTATTGAATACTTCTGGATTTGGAAATGTGTCAGTTGAACGTCAAAAATGTGAGTGCATGTAAAAAAAGGTTTTTAATTTGGACAAGAGATCCCATAATCAGAACAACATTTGTGCAATTTTAATCTTCTGTTGATAAAAAAGAATGCAATTTTTCTTCTGGAAGTACACCACATCTGATTCTGGTCCAGGGTTATGATACATTTTTAAAAACGTTTTAATGTGCAATTAGTTAAATGCACCCTGTTAAATATTTCTCCATTTAGGAATGTATAAGTGTCTCGTAAAAAATGTATATGCATGAAAAACACTGGTAAAATTGGGAAACATAACATGTTCCAAATATTTTCATTCGAAGTCCAATCATACTTTAGAAGTTCGGCCCAGTTTTTATACAATTTTGACTTTTCTGCTGGATACCCGAGAAAAGAATGCTATTTTGCTACACCACGTCCGAATCGGATACAATTTTACGATCCATTTTCTAAGCTTTAATGATTAATTTGGTCCAGGCTGCTAAATATTTCTCCATTTGCAAATATGTCATTTTGATGCCAAAAATGTATCTGTGTATAAAAAGGTGACAAAATTTATTAAAAGATATCTCATGCATCTCTTCCTTATTTAGAAGTTGAATGCAATTTTAATTTTCTGCTAGATAAAATAGAATTCAATTTTATTTCAGGGAGGACACAGCGTCCGACTGTCCAGTGCAACTAATTAAATACACACTAAATATTTCTTGACTTTGAAATGCGAAATGTTAATGTGGTTGTGGTAAAAAAGGTTGAGTAAACAAAAGGTGTTAATAATCCTCACACGGAATCCTGATTTAGAAATTTAATGAAATTCTGATTTTCTGAGAATTCAATTTTAACTCTGGGAGGACACAGCTTCAGCGTCTAGTCCAATTTTGTGATCATATGCAGGTCAGATTTTCTAAGCTTTAAAGTGCAATTAATTAAATGCATGCTAAATACTTCGAAATACTAAATACTTAATATTAAATGTCAAGCGTTTATGTGTTTGTAGAAAGCGTTGTAAAGTATTGATAACCTTCATCTGATCCATAATTTAGAACTCGGTGCTATTTTTATCTAATTCATATTTTCTCGTGGATAAAATAAGTGTATGTAAATTTTGTTCACCAATATTCTCATAAAAGTTCAATCATGATTTAGAAATTCAACGTAATTTGCAAGCAATTTAGATTTTCTGCTTATAAAATAATTTTTGGTTCTTTGAAGGAAACGACATCTGAATGTGGGCCAGGTTAACGATTTTTGAAACTTTTTAATGCAATTAATTAAATACTTGCTGTTAAATATTTCTCGATTTGTAAACGGAGCAGTTCGACGTCAAAATGTAGAAAGGGTTAAAAGTTGATGAAAAGATGTTTTCAACGTCCTCAAAAGGGTCAATTATTTAGTCATGATTTAGACTTTTTTGTGTAATTTTTGTGCAATTTCCAATTTCTGCTGGTAAAATATAATCCAATTTTATTTCTGGGAAGCGGGAGGACACCATATTCACATCTGGACCAGTTTTACGATCCATTTTCTAAACTTTTCCATGTAAAATTTGATTCCCCCTTGCAAATATTTCTGAATTTGGAAAAGTTACGAAATTTTGATTTTATGTTGATAAAATGTATAAAATGCAATTTGGTCTGTGTGAGGACACCACGTGTTTATTAATTTGGTCCAGGGTTACTGTGGGACTGAGCAAGGTCACACCGGGGGGTAGGGGTTCTAAATTCTCTGAAAATCGATCAAATGCTCTATTTACGGTCCCTGCGCAATTATTTAAACGTTAATTAAATGTTATTTAATAGTTTTCGGTCTGTAAATGTAGCAACTCAACGTCAAAAATTTATGTGTACGTGAAAGTCGATGAAAGATGTGATTGAAAGATGAGATCGGCGTATGCTATCCATACACAAGTCCAATCATAATTTAAAAGTTCAATTTTTATGCAATTTTGATTTTCTGCTGGACAAAATAGTATTCAATTTTATCTCTTCGAGGATACCACTGAAATATTGCACGCTGTGAAATATTTCTTCATTTGTAACTATTTCTCGGTTAGGAAATGTATAATTTCGACGTCAAAAATATTTGTATATAAAAGCGGTTATACATGTAACTGATTAGAAGAGATGACTTGTCGGTGTCCCAAAAAATTCTGCCTTAATTTAGCAATTTAATGTAATAATTATGCAATTCTGATTTTTTGAATCTCCTGGATAAAGTAGAGTTCAGCTTTGTTTCTGGGAGGGCATCGTTTTCGTATCTTTTCTAGTCTTACGGATCAATTTTTAAATTTCTAATTTTCAGTAAAATCCTCACGGCTACTTAAAATTTCTCGTTTTGGAAATGTATCGGTTCGACGTCAGAAATGTATGTGTGTAAAAATTAATACGAATTGGGTTTGAAGATGTGTTGGATAATTTTTCAATCATGATTTAGAATTTGACCACAATTTTTATCCAATTTTGGTTTTTTTGAGTGGATGAAATAGAATACATTTTTGTTTCTGGGATGACACCGCTTTCGTATCTGGTCTAGTTCTACGATTCAATTTTTAAACTTCATAATGTACGTACAATTAACTAAATGTACGCTGCTAAACATTCATTGATTTGGAAATGTGTCAGTTCAACGTCGAAAATGTGTGTGGATGTAACAGCGGGTAAAAACTTGAATAAAAGATGCAAATCAAATAATTTTTTTGTTCACTCAAAATCATATTATACCTTCAAAAAGTAATTTTTACTCAGCTTTGATTTTTTGATAATAAAACATACAATTTTATCTCTGAAAATTGTTATGATTAATGCAATTTGCATTCACATCTGGTCCAGTTTGAAGATCAATTTTTTACCTTTTAATTTCCTATTAATTACTGCATTTTGTTAAGTAATTATCGTTTTGGACATGTACCAGTTCAACGTCAAAAGTGTGTGTACTAAAAAAATGGATATAAATTTAATTGAAAGGTGACCCACCAGCCTTTCATAAGTTCAATCGTGATTTAGAAATTCATCGTAACTTGTATCCAGAAAATCAAAATTTCATACAACTTGTATGAAATTTTGATTTTGTGTTGATCAAATATTACATAAGTTGTATACTTACAATGTTGTTTTTTGGAGGACACCACAACTGACCCTGGTCTATGTCAACGATGCATTTTTTAAACTTTTTAATGTTCAATTAATTAAATGCATGAGGTTAAATACTTCTCGATTTCGGCTGAATTAAAGATTTAATGCAATTTTTTTGCTGCAATTTTCATTTTCCGCTGGATAAAATTAGAGTGCAATTTTGTTTCTCGGAGGACACATGATTCGTATTTGGTCCAGTTTTATAATACATTTTCTGAACTTTAATGTGCATAATTATATTATGCACGCTGCTAAGAATTTCTTAAGTTTGAAATGTATCAGTTCAACGTCAAAAATGCGTATGCGTGTAAAACTAATCCAAAAGGTGGTATCAGATGTCTAAATCTTCGCCCAGAATTCCAGAAATTCAACGTAATTTTTTTCGCAACTTTTGATTTTCTGCTGGATAAAACAGAGTGCAATTTTATTTCTTGCAGAACATTGTATTTACATATGGTTTAGGATGCATTTGCTAAACTTTTCAATTTCCAATTTTATGCACGCTGTCTAGCTCGACGTCGAAAATGTATGTGGATTTAAAAGGGCTACTAAATTGATTACAAGATTGTTGAGGATTATAACTTAATCAGGCATTTAGAAGCTTAATGAAGGATTTATACAATTCTGATTATTTGTTGGGTAAAATAGTATTTAAGTTTCTCTCTGGGAAGACACCACATTTGCATCTGGTTCAGT